CAGAACAAAGAGAAAGTTTGGTGAATTTTTATCAAGGGGAAAGACGTTATTGCTCTTCTTCCTACAGGATTTGGGAAAAGCTTAATATACCAGTTAGCCCCATTAATGGTGCATTACATACGTCCAGTGTTCAGCAGTAACAGATTACATGTACCGTACGTAATCAGAGTACAAATTATGAGTAACTGTATTCAGTTACAGTTATTGTTTCAGTGAGTGGTAATTGGATTACAGTTACTTTGTTGAAATAAATGGATTACACTGTGGTAGTTTCCTGATTTTTTACATTTACATTTGGGCTATATCCCCCCCCCCCTCGTAATTCCACTCATTGCTGGACACTAAAGCAGGTGTAAAAGCAGGTCTAAACCAGGTCTAAACCAGGTCTAAAACCAGGTCTAAACTAGTTCTAAACCACGTCTAAACCAAGTCTAAAACCAGGTCTAAATTAGGTCTAAACCAGGTCTAAAACCAGGTCTAAAACCAGGTCTAAACTAGGTCTAAACCAGGTCTAAAACCAGGTCTAAAACCAGGTCTAAACCAGGACTAAACCAGGTCTAAACCAGGATTTAACAGGACTAAACCATGCCGCGGTGACCATGTCTCCTCTTCTTCTATCAATAATATTTTTAATATGGTTAAGGAAAGTCTGGGCTTTTTATTTTCTTTTATCAGACAAAACTTCTTATGTGAAGATTTCCTCATCTTTGCTTCTCTACAGAAAATCAAGTAATCCAAAGTATTCAGATTACGTTACTCACTTTAAGTAACTTAATGGATTCCGTTACAAACTACATTTTGAGGTATGTAATCTGTAATCTGTAGGGGAATACATTTTAAAAGTCACCTTCCCAACACTGCATACGTCACAACCAAAAAGTACTCGCCTACTGTCAAGCGAATGAATCCTAATGTGACGAGGTCAGACGGTTTCCACAAAGTGAAACTGGCTGAAGAATCAGGCTAAGAATAAGTAACTTCTCTGGCTAATGATTGATTTATTCTGCTATTTATTTGTTGCAGCTCAGGCTTTTTAATTATACTGTATATTTAAAAATTGTTTACTTGGATTATCCTACTTGTGCCAGTATTTTCAATATGATCATTTATTTCATATTCCTCTGTTTCTCTGATTCCATAACACAAGAACATGGCAGCTGAACTCCAGTAACAAGCGGCAGTCCAGAGTTTTGAGAGTGGAGTTATCTGTTTTCTGGGAAAGAAATATATGATTTATGGCCTTATATTTGTAGCCTTACCAGCTTGTCCAAGTCTGATCCCTTCAGAGCTCGGAAGCTAAGCACGGCCAGGCCTGGTTAGTATTTGGATGGGAGACCACTGAGAAAATCAAGTACCACAGTGAGGCACCAGTCACAAAAGCTGCCATTGTGTCCTTAGGCAAGGCACTTCACCCATATTGCCTAGTATGAAAGTGGTGTGTGTGTGAGTGATGTTGGTGGTCAGAGGGACCGCAGATTGGCAGCCGTGCTTCCGTCAGTCTGCCCCAGGACAGCTGTGGCTATAATAGTAACTTAACTGGGTATGGAGTGAATGAATAATGCTCTGTGAAGCGTCTTTGTGACATATGTCTGTGAAAAGTGCTATATAAATAAAAAACTTACTTACTTATTTACTTATATGTTACAGGGTGCTACATCTATAGGGTGTTTGTTGTTAAACCTCTACAATCATGTTCTGAAAGGGATTCTGTTAGACTTCAGCCTGAAGTGACCCAAATCCGATTTTTTGGCCCCTATGTGACCTGTATCTGATCTTTTAATGACAGTCTGAACGACACAGATCCGATTTTTTCAAATGTGACCCAGGACACTCTGATATGTGCTCCTAAAACCGATACATATCTGATCTTTTGACATGCGACTTCAGTCTGAACGGCCAAAGCGCATTCATCCGACCTACACGTCATTAACAAACCACAAACGTCACTATTCTGCGCTGAAGTCGGCGAAAATTGTTAATGAACTCCATGCCACTGAAGTGAAGCACATCACCACTCACCACTCTTGGCTACGTCTCCACATCCACACGTTCCTTTCAACAGACGTCGCTGCCGCTGTCCCACAAAACACCACGGCCAAAAACCTCGTCCTTCTCCTTCTCAATCTCCTCTTTAAAACAAGTAAGTTGTTCATGTTCTGGCTCCGGTACGAGAGGAACTTTAAAATCTCCAGGTGCTCAATGCTCACGTCCATGTTTGGACAACTTCCGTAAACACAGAGCACGCTCACTGCGGTTGACGTCATCGTGTCTCCAGTGCGCATGCGGGACACTTTTGGGCTGTTTAACGTTCACACTGGAGTCACACACAAGCCGCATTTAATTGGAAATGTGAACGACCTCGCAAAAACATCGGATTTCACAAAAAAAATCCAAATTGAGCGTTAAGCCCTGCAGTCTGAACGTAGCCTTAGTTTAGCTCCACTTGAGATACTTCTCTCCTCCTCAGTGTTACTCTCCTAATATTTTTTTTTTTTTTTAAATATGCACTGTGAACTGAATTCTGAATAATTTGCAAATCTACTCAAATGCAGAGGACAGATTTCTCTACAGGGACAATAAAGTTAATGTGTACCTTAACCTTACCTTAAAGACAATCTCTATGTAAGGAAAAAGGCTGTAATCCAGAAGCATTCGACCCCACTGTGTGAATGGAGAAAGATCTGTCCTATTTGAAGTAGTAGTGCGCTTCAGAACAACAGCCATATCAGTTACTTTTATTGTCCTTATTTATGGATTTCAGTTTCCTGTTATATGCAACATTTTGAGACTTTTTCCCATTTGAAAGAGTATAATGTTTTTAAATGCTTAATCGTTATGGCACAATGGCCTTTCATTTTTATCATTTTGAAACCCACCCATGGATAAAAGTTCAAGCTAAACAAACTATTCTTGCATTGATTTTTTACCAACTGGGCCATTTTTAACTATTTAAGATAATACAGAACAATTATCATATCAGTTACTTCTATTGTACCTATTCATGGACTTCAGCTTCCTGTTAAGACTTTTTCCCGTTTGAAAGATATAAAGTAGTTTTAAACTGTTAATTTCCTTCATTTTTATCTTTCTGAAACCCACCCATGGATAAAAGTTAAAGGTGCATGTGTGTAACTCTTCTGATGTAGGGTGTGCCGCTTAGCCTGATTCATCAGCCGTTTTCACTTTGTAGAAACCGTCTGACCTCGCAGCATTAGGATTCGTTCGCTTGACGGTAGGCGGGTACTTTTTTAAATTAGCCAATTGCTGCTATTTGGTCGTGACGTATGTAATGCTCCAAATCCCGTAGGAAGAAGGGCAATAACGTCTTTCCCCTTGATAAAATTCACCAAACATTCTCTTTGTTCCAGCTTTAAATCCTCGATCTCAGGAGTCATAGCCAACACAGAATGTCTGTCTTCGTCTACATCCATCTCGACCGCTTTGTTTACTGTTGTGCTGTACCACAAAAGGGACCCAGACAGACGCTTGAGTTTGACGTCATGGCTTCACAGCTCTTTGCTGATTGGCCAGTGTGCGGTCTACAACTTCCGGGGTTCTTGCAAACCGTCTAGTGCAGAGGTGTCAAACTCATTTTGGTCCGGGGGCCGTATCCAACCTACTTTGATCCCAAAGGGGCCGGATCAGAAAAACTCATGGCACATATACCCCAAACATAACAATAAGTTCAAATATTTGTGCAGACAAAAGGAAATCTATTATAGAAATCTTTTTTAATTGATGAACTCTTTCTTATTATAATATTATAATATTATGAACAACCTGAAACTTTAAGAAAAATTCAATTTCAACACAATGTTTTAACATTAACTTGTATGCAAATAGGAATAAGTAAATTTTTCTTGGAAAATCCTGCACTCGGCTCCACTTTTTTGACATTTTGTTGATGAGGGTGTCACGGTCAAGAGTCAAAACGATCGTCCTTTAAGAGCGTTTGGAAAGAGACAAGTCTTCATTTGTGTTGCTCTGGTGGGAGGGGCCACGTACAGAGACGCTGGAGACGCTGCTCTGCTCAGCACCGCAGAAAATTAACAATATTTTAATAGAAATTAAAATATTTTAGTAGAAAATCACCCAAGGGCCACATTAAAGGTCTTGGAGGGCCGGATCTGGCCCCCGGGCCTTATGTTTGACACCTGTGGTCTAGTGTATTCCGATTCCTGACCTAGTCGCTGGAGAGAAATGAAATTGAGGGGAGGCACTAGGTGGCGCCAGCCTGGCTACTGCCGCTTGCTTGTCTCTATGGAAATTATAAACTCTATTCATGCTTACGTCACAAACCAGGAAGACGCGATGACAACTTCCAGCGGGCTTTGTTCGCGGTAGTAAATCTGACAAAATCTGGGAAAAATTAGAAAATGGCCCAGTTTTCTTCATCTCCACGTCATTGTAGCGTTCCGTTATGTTTGACTACTCAATAATTGCAACCAACCTTTTCATCATTTCCCCACTGACGCACAACTCCGAGCGCACTGGGTACATGAGGACGCCAAATTCAAGATGATTCCAAACAGCACATACGTATGCAGTCTTCATTTTACCACTGATCACATTTTGTTCAGTGGGTTTTTGTCATAGTCGTAAGCGAGCCCAGTGTCGGGATCTGTACCGGAAGTTTTGGTTTGTGACGTAAGCGTGAATAGAGCCTATTGTTTTACCTCGGATGTGCCACAGTGTGACATTTACCATCTATCCAGCATTTATTCAATTACAGCTGTTTTTATTGCTAAAGAAATACCTTGAAAAACACAGATCTTACCTGTAACTTACTTGATCGTGCCACTTGTCTGTCTCCATGGAGTTAGAGAACTTTAATGTGACACTGTGGAACATTCCAGGCAAACAGGTGGCAGGCCCTCTACCAGAAAATTTACACAATGCATCTTTAAAGCTACACAAACACATATTATTGTAATGTTCTCTTTTTTTTTACAGGTTTGTTCATGTATTTTCATGACTAACTTTGATTTTCTTGTTCCCAGGGCGGGTGTACGGCGTCCTGGGTAAGCGTGAAGGGCGTGTGGTGCAGGAGGAGATGAAGGAGGGCACGGACATGTTCATCATTAAGGCCATCCTGCCCGTCGCTGAGAGCTTTGGCTTCGCTGACGAAATCCGCAAAAGGACCAGCGGTTTGGCCAGTCCCCAGCTCGTCTTCAGCCACTGGGAGGTCAGTATTATTCACCTTATTCTGGAAGTTGCCATTGGTGGAATCTTCGTCATTTGGGTTGGATTATTTTGCATGAAATCAGATAAATTCTGCACAGATTACAAAGCGGTTTTCACGCCTCGCAGAGAATCGGGGCAGTGTTGACTTTTTTTTATACACGAACAATGAACATTTTTGTCAAATCAGTCAACTTTATGTCGTATTTTAGCAGCAAAACATTTCTCAAATTCTCCATTTTCACAAAGAAAGTGCGATTTTAGGAATAAGTGAATAAAGTCAATAACAATCAGACTTTGGCAATATTTTCCCTTCTTTCACTTCATAATGTTGACGTTTGCTTGGAAGTTTCAAATTATGGAATTAAACTTATCTTACGTTGATTAAAATGAAGAGTTGTACATTCTTGCATGCAGTACATGCATTCTTACTGTGGGCACAGTCACCTCTCCACAGACCTGACTCGTAATTTAGCCTGGTGGTACAAATCTGTTTGTCACCACGGGCATTAGGCAAGTTTAATGTCATATTGTGGAACATTTACAACTTTTTTATTATTCTAAACTAACAGTGGACAATATATCAAATACTTTAAATATTGTAACATGCAAAATTAATAAAAATATTGAGTACTGAAGTAGTATGAAATATCTATTCATCACACGGAAGACCAAAACCAAACCCTAATATTGCTCACAGTTTTTGTTTCGTTTTTTTGTTTTTTTGTTTTTTGAAGAAATTTGAAAATTGTCTCAAATGTTGTTATTTAGTAGCATGTCTGTGCACAGAATTACTCCTCGTATTTATTTAACTTACATTGTAAATCATCAGATTATTTTTTTTAGCTCAAAACAAGCTTTTTAATACCTATTAAAGAACTGCTCAATTATGGAAAAAATCATTATCACGATTATTTTTGGTCAATATTGAAATCACGGTTATTCAAACTATTATTCTTTTGTTACACAATACATTTGTTCACCATTTCTCTCAAAAAAAAACACTTGATTATTGATAATTTCATACAAAACTTTCAAATTGACAATAAATATAGGCTACAAATATGTATCTTAGAGCAGTTTTGTGATGTATAAAACATAAAATGAATAAAATATACTTTAAACATGAAATAAGGCATAGAAAAACATAAATATATCCAAAATAAACTATATGTCCAGCTGTTCTACAATCTCTATATTAAAAAATAAAATAAATATACTTTATGTAAAAAATCACAAAATAAATGGTTAAGCTTTAAGGTTGGTTTCAACTCGATTATGTGAGTTTTGAGATTGTTTTGACACACAAATCGAAATTGCGATGAAAATTCACAGCCTTAACCTACTATGCCTTAAATCTTAAAAATCACAGCTTATCCCTCTAATGCTGAGACTTATTTAAAAAATTAATTATCTTTTCACATTGCAGGGTGACTCTAAACCTCTTCAAATCTCCTAATTGGGCAAAATCAGCAGTTAGCGCCGCTTTAGCCTTCGTGTTAGATTTAGCCTTCACCATGTGCTTTGTTTTGGGGGTTTGTCTTGTGCCCTAATGAGACAGCTCTCTCGAGGGACGGGGGATCAAAGTGTTTTCGGGACAACATGTGCCTCGGACCGTTATACCTGCCGCTTCACCGCCTCTCGTCCTCGTCTCGGCGCGTCTCGCCATTGTCCGCGCCATATGGACGGTGTCAGCGGAGGTCACAGGGCGGCCATGCTTGTATGGTGGAGTGACGCAGCACTGTCTCCGGGATTTAAATGGCTTGTGTTACTTAATAGGTCTTCTGCACATTTATCTGACAGGCTGAGCGGGTTCACGTGAGGAGTGGTATTGCTTCATTATCCTGAAAACGGCTGACAGTCAATGCGTCTCCGAAATGCGCCTCGTAAATGACTATTATTAACTTTATGGAGACATCCTTCTGGTGGAAAGCACGCGGACGCACTAGAATACAAATGAGGGTTCATCTTTCACCAATTGTCAGGTACGCGACGCCTGGGCGAAATTACAAATTTATCAGATGCAAAATCACCTTGAAGCTGCTACAGGAGGATACAAGACAAGTGAAGTGAGTGTGCTAGTCCCAAGCTCTGACAAATGGTGAGACTGTAATGATGCATAGGTTTTACATAGATTTTCTTTTACATGTAAAGTTGCCTTCCAGTACATTCATATAGACTGCCCTGGGTCTGACCATAGACTGCATAAAGAAGTAGAATAAAGGACTGTGGGGTTCAGATCCAGTCAAATGAAGCTCACGAGGCTAGCAGTTATACGAGAGAATATAGAGTTTCATATTAGGAATAGGAATTACTAGCCTGATTCATCAGCGGTTTCACTTCGTGGAAACCGTCTGACCACGCAGCATTAGGATTCGTTCGCTTGACGGTAGGCAGGTACTTTTTTATTTAACCAGTCGCTGCTATTTGGTCGTGACGTATGTAATGCGCCAAATCCCGTAGGAAGAAGGGCAATAACGTCTTTCCCCTTGATAAAATTCACCAAACATTCTCTTTGTTCCGGCTTTAAGTCCTCGATCTCTGGAATCGTTGCCAACACAGAATGTCTGTCTTCGTCTACATCCATCTCGACCGCTTTGTTTACTGTTGTGTTGTACCTTAAAAAGGAGCTTGAGTTTGACGTCATGGCTTCACAGCTCTTCGCTGATTGGCCGGTGCGCGGTCTACAACTTCCGGGATTCTTGCAAACCGTCTAGTGTATTCTGATTACTGACCTAGTCACTGGAGAGAAATGAAACTGAGTGGAGGCACTACATGGTGTCAGTCTGGCTAAGGAATTACAGACAAAATTGTGAAATAAATAAAACAGCATTATGTGGAACGGGTTAACATGAACGTTTTAAGACCAAAATGATGAGACTCACTGCAGTAATTTCATCGAGAGGGCTGACAATTTTTTTTATGTAAAGTCAATTGGAAACCAGAAGCGCCCCCATGCTCACTTCCTTCCTTTGGAGTGTGGCGGTTTGTGGGTTAGACATGTCCATTTATACAGTTTCTGGTGCTGACTGACCAAAAAGTGTCTGCCAATCTGTGCCATTGTACAACAACAACAACAATTAAAGTTGTTAGACCTTGACAAACAATCAGCCAACACAGTTAAAACCACAAGCTAAATGGCAGGGGTCCATTCATAGTTTTATTAAATACCTTGATCCATTTTTTAAAAGCCCCGGAAAAGTCGTGCTGTTATTGGATAAACGTATATGTCTGTGCCTGACGGAGAAAGGGGCAGGAAAGCGGGAAGGGGGCTTACTTGGCAACGAAACGCGCTAGCTGTCAATCAGACCTGTTGCTAAAGTTGGCGGGAGCGATGTCTGGGAATGAAGGCATCTGATTGGTCCATTATTTACGTTCTTATGTTGATTTAGAGACAAAATAGTGAAATCAAAAACTGTGGATCATGTAGAGTGGGTAGTACAAACATTTTGAGACATTTTACAGAGAAAGGTGTGACAGTGTTCAAGTGTAAGTCAATGGGAGCCAGAGTCTGAAGGAGCCAGAGGAGCCCTTGGCGCACTTTCTATTTGGATCACGGCGACTTGTGCGTTACCACTGTATGTTCATTCATATATACGGTCTGTGTCATCTCCTACCACCGCCAACCATTGACTCGGCACATTCAGACTAAAATAGCACTGTTAAACCTGGACGAGAATAGCCTATAATTTTAATGAACCCAGTGGCCTGATGTAATCTGGTTATAGACCCATAATCAGATAAGGTGGTGCACAGGAACCACAGCAGGCAAGGCAAAGTTATTTGTATAACACAGTCCATAAACAAAGGAATTCAAAGTGCTTCACAGAATAAAAAAGACATAAAAAACATCATAAAAACAAATAAAAACATATGCAATCAGCATTAAATTGTCAAATCAGAGGCCTTAACTAAAATCCTGCTTCTTCAAATTTGAACTATGTAAGTTTTCTGGTGGAGGGTCTGCCACCTGCTTGTCGCTTTGGAGACAGATGTTATTAAGACACTATTGATCAGTTAATTGACTACCGTAATTTCCGGACTATAAGCTGCTACTTTTTTTCTCACATTTTGAACTTTGCGGCTAATAAAACGATGCGGCAGATATATGGACAGATTCTTTGTTTGGCACATTGTCCATTCATATATACAGTCTATGGTTTATCAACACAGCGGACATGTGCAGCCTCAGTGCAGAAAACGCAGCTGTCTGTGCGATTTACACATGGATCCAGGGTTCACATGAAGCTGCTACACTACCTCGCGATATTGTCAGTGCACTCAAATTGTTTATCGCCGTGTGATCACAAAAGTTATGATGATAAATGAACATTAGTGAGGGGGATACGTCTTACCCGTATGTGTAAATGACTAGAAGAAACGTCTCAAACTTCAGTAGCTGGACATCTACTCATACCTGATTGACAGAACTAACCCCGCCCCCAAGAGAGTCTGAAATCTGCTGAAATCCTCCAAGACAATGACATGAAGGCTCTTTCTGCAGGAGACATGTGCAGTAGAGCACGAGGAGAGACATTGATGATGCGCCGAGGAAGATGCTCGTTTGATTGTGTTTTGAACAGTTATTTTACGCTTCATACACACACCCTCCTCATGGAAAACACACGAAGAAATGCAGATGATGCAGCTTTTAAGTTAAAGGCGATTGATGTGGCTGTGGAAGAAGGAAACAGAGGCTGCATTCAGACTGCAGCCTGAAGTGACCCAAATCCGATTTTTTGGCCCCTATGTATGTATCTGATCTTTTAATGATAATTAGATTTTTTTCAAATGCGACCCAGGACACTTGGATATGTGATCCTAAAACCGATACATATCTCATCTTTTGACATGTGACGGCCAAAGCGCATCTATCTGACCTACACGTTATCAACAAGTCACAAATGTCACTATTCTATCCTGAAGTAGGCGAAAATTGTTAATGAACTCCGTGTCACTGAAGTGAAGCACATCACCACTCACCACTCTTGGATACGCCTCCAC